ATCTCTTGACCTCGTGATCCACCCGCCTCGGCCTCCCAAAGTGCTGGGATTACAGGCGTGAGCCACCGCGCCCGGCCTCCTCTTTTTCCTTTTATTACTTAATACAAGTTTTATTGGAGGTTAAAATACAACATTTAGTCTTTGGGTAACAGAAACTCAGCTAAGACTGTGACTGAATTTTTTTTCACCTGTGGTCCCAACTAATTGGGAGGCTGAGGTGGGAGGATTGGTGGAGTCTGGGAAGTTAAGGCTGCAGTGAGTCATAATTGTACCACTTCACTCCAGCCTGGGCTACAGAGCGAGACTCCATCTCAAAAAAAAAAAAAAAAAAAAAAGAGGGTTCTGCCTGCTTCCACACGAGTGAGAAGACTTGTGCTCTGGTTCTCGGACTTCCCCAGCAGCATAGCCCCCAAATGCCAGTCTCCCCTCCGGCCTTAAAAGAAGAAGTCAAGACCATCTCCTGGTCTGGGACTGGAGGAGACATGGGCCTCTGCAGGTTTGCCTAAGAAGGGAAAAAAAGAACAGCAAGAAGCAATTGAACACATTGATGTAGCACAAAATGAAACACAGACTTAATGAACAAGCCAGTGAGGAGATTTTGAAAGTAGAACAGAAATATAACAAACTCCGCTAACCATTTTTTCAGAAGAGGTCTAAGTTGATCGCCAAAATCCCAAATTTTTGGGTAACAACATTTGTCAACCATCCACAAGTGTCTGCACTGCTTGGGGAGGAAGACGAAGAGGCACTGCATTATTTGATCAGAGTTGAAGTGACAGAATTTGAAGATATTAAATCAGGTTACAGAATAGATTTTTATTTTTGATGAAAATCCTTACTTTGAAAATAAAGTTTGGGCTGGGCGTGATGGCTCATGCCTATAATCCCAAAACTTAGGGAGGCCGAGGTGGGTGGATCACGAGGTCAAGAGATCGAGACCATCCTGGTCAACATGTTGAAACCCCGTCTCTACTAAAAATACAAAAATTACAGCCGGGTGCGGTGGCTCACACCTGTAATCCCAGCACTTTGGGAGGCCAAGGCGGGTGGATCACGAGGTCAAGAGATCGAGACCATCCTGGTCAAC